AAAAAAAAATTGATCATACCTCACGTGTGCTTGTTGATAGAAATCGCGGACGATTTGATCGGTAGTATAGTAGGCGTAGATGTTTTTATTTGGTTCTTTTTAGATAATAAACAATGTTTTAAATATGATGATAATAAAGTACTATGAAGACAACTAATAGGTTACGACCTACGCTTCTAGCCTAAGTACTTCTATTAACTAGGCCTATATGGCTACTAGGCCTACCTGGCCTAGCCTAGCAATACAGCAGTTAGCCCGGTACGGAACCACCATGCCTATTAAAATAAATATTGTACAAACAAATCTTTTATGTAAAATTTAGTGTCTGTTATGGCCTTTGTAAAAGATTTGGCTTGGCACCAATGCAGTTTTTGAAATCTCTAGGCCTAAGAAGCCTACACATTATTAGGGGCCTAGCCTCCTAGGCTTGGCCTGGGCCAGCAAAAAAAAAAAAAAAATGATAAAAAAATCCGCCCCCCCGCCCCTGAAAATTTCTGAGGGTGTGACGATAAACAAGTATATATATATTTTTTTTGGCCTTATCTAATTTTATAATTTTCTATGTGCCCTTAGGATATTGCTGTTTCTTAGCTAAGGAAATATAACGTCTATTCGTGTACAATAATATTAATAATAATAATAATAATAATAATAATAATAATAATAATAGTGATGATGATGATGATGGTAATTATGATAATTATGATAAATGATAATAATAATTATAATTTATAACCGATTCCATTTTTTTTCTTTTTTGCTCGAAGGTAAAAAAAGAACCCCGAATTTTTGTAATCTTGACCTTGTCCTTTGACCTTTTCTTCCAGAAATTGAACGGTGCCCGTTTCTTTGATTATATATGTACTATTCCACTAGATTTTATGATAATCCATTCATTAGCTTTTGCGTAATCTTGTTAACAAACAGACAGACAGACAGCAGTGAATCTAGTAACCTCCATGGTGGAGGTGATTAATATCAATGTACTTACCGATCACATTCTAAAATATAAATGCAAATAAAATATTGGTAAATTAAAATTTCAAGGGTAGTATATGAAGCTGACTTTAATGAATCAAGGGTCACACATGTTTCTGTAGTAACAAGTGTGTTTTGCTGTAGTCAGCATCAACGAAAAATGGGGGAGGTGGGGGTATTGCGTTTTGAGAATTGGGTTAAGGGACGTCACATAAGAGTCAAGTGGTGTTTAGAGGCTTAAAGGTACATTTTAGTTTAAAAATCAGAATAGGCTATTTTACTACAAAAGCAATAATGAAGAAAAGAAAAAAAAAAAAAAAAAACGTCACCACTGGGATTAATAGAGTTTATGGGGTGAGATAGCTAGGCAACTCCTCTGTAAAAGGGGGTTTTGACTGAACCTTTAAAAATCTACTACATCTACATCGTGTTGTTAGATAGCCACCAAAAATCAACATCGATCTCGGGTACTGCTGATCGATCAGACCTAGTCGTCACATCAGGAATACAAGATTACGATGATCACCAATAATACGTTATCAGAAGTAGTTACGCCTACTGATTACAAAAGCAAATATCATAGTTCTACTTAGAAAACAAATCGATGTTACATTGAAGGTGACCTAGCTAAGTTTAGGTTCATGGTTTATGTTATGTTTTCTCTTTGCAGACTCTTCACTTAGACGGCGTTCACACGGACAAGAAGTAATGGCTAGGCCTCATAAGCAACTTCTAAATTCAGTTGAGTCATGTGTGGACGAGATGCTCGAAGGCGTGGCAGCAGTCAACCTAGGCGTAAAGATTCTCAGAGGTAGGCTATGGTCAAAGTTTACGCTGGTGTTGTTTATGGCTGAGGTCACGTCTGCGATAGGTCAATGTGCTGCTTTAACTTGGCACATCATACGGCGTATTATAATGGAAATGATTTTTTTTTTCTGTAGTAGGCCTACTGTACATTAAAGTCAGGCTCCGGAGGAAAACAATTTTTTGATATGTTGTAGAACTGATTTTTCTAAGACAGAAAAAAGTTGTTTGACGAAAAACTGGGGAACGGTGAACGAGATACAGATTTTTGAATATTTAAAAACTGGGGGAAAAAGGGGCGTAACCGCACATTTTTACACCTTTTCCCCCAGTTTTTAAATATTAAAAAATCTGTATCTCATTCATCGTTGCTCAGTTTTTCGTCAAACAACTTTTTTCTGTCTCAGAAAAATCAGTTCTACAACATATCAACATTTTTTTTTCCTCCGGAGCCTGACTTTAAGACAACAATGAGATTTTAAGGTCAGGGTCTATCCAGCTCCACAAATCAACACCTCGGATTTGCGTGATGTCGACAGATAATCCCGCCTATCCACGGCGTACATTATACTCTACTGGTGCAATAAACGTATACAATTTGTTACCGTATACAAACTGAAACGTGTCGTCATCACCTGGTTTAAGATAATACTGGTACTCTAGCTGAAAACAGTGGCGTCCCTAGGAGTCTCGAAATGGGGAGGGGGTGATAGGGGGAGATGATTAAATGAGGGGCGCTAGCTTGCAAAATATGGTGATATGATGTGATTTATCTAACTGAGCGTGATTGTTTTTCAATGGAGGAGCTGGGGAGGGGAAACTGAGGGGAAAATAAGGGGAAACTGGTGGTGGTTTTTAGGGAGGGGATGCGCCCCACGCGTACTTTACTAGATTCGCTACTGCCTGACAGCACTTTAAATATGAATTAAGATGTCATCCAATCAACAGATACCGCATTCAGATCTTTACCTCGTGACAACTTTTTTTGTTACACGTGTCTCGTTGGAAGATAATAAACTCTTTACATTAGCCTCCCCAAATTCTGTATTTACCCCGGCTCTTCTTTATGCTGTCTTTGTCACTGTCTCCCTCCACCCCTAGTTTACATCCAAATTTGAGCAGTAGCCTGTGATATATGTGACATAAAATAGGCCTAACCTTTTTTTGAACCGGAATATTGGGATAAAAAAAAAAAAAGCCGTAAAAAATTAACATGATATTTGTTTTATTCTGTAAATACTTCAAATTATTATGTGAAGGGGCGGTAACGCGCAATATAAGGTGATAGGCCTATATGGTGAGGTGATTTTTAACTTGCGCATAATTACTTTGCTTCCAACATTTTAAGTGGGTGGGGGAGCAGACTGGAGGGCACAAGTTCCCCCACCCCCCGCCCGGGCCAAACCATCATAATACTCACCATCATAAGCAAAAATTCAATATGCTCATCATATTTTTCTAGAAAACAAATTCAAATATTATTTTTAACGCTTTATACCAGAGGAAAAAAAAAACCGTAATAATGGGCTTATTCGACTGGTTCATTTCGTTGAGTACGAATTTTCATTGAGTATTATTTTCATTCGACTGGTTCGTAAAATAGACTTTGTTGACAACGAAATAACCAGAATGCGTTAATCAGCGTTAAGTTATGCACGTGACCAAAAAATATGGCCGATTTCTCAGTTTAGCAACAACATTTTGTGTTAATATAATCTAGATTAAATTTCAGAAAATAAAAATTATATTATTTACCCACATTGAAGTAAAAAAAAAATTGTACGCTAACAGAATTCAAAAACTGGATGAAACCATTTTTTAAAAGAAAAACCTATACTGCCACAATCTGAAGCAGCCTTGTATCGCGATAAATATGCAGCCATTTTGTTTTTTCGAGTATTTACCAGTTTTCTATTCGACTGGTCGTCTTCGTTAAGTAGGATTTTACCACTTCGCAGGTGGGCGTGGTTTACCGAAGAACAACCAGCCGAAGACGACCAATATGTTCGTAAACATGTGTGCTTAATGCATGTGCGTATCCCTGGCCCAGATCTGATTTGGTCTGCTGATAAGTTAGATTGACACGCCGGTAAGCTCAATTGATTTCAGGATTATGAACAGTCTTGGATACGATTCATACTTTGAAATAATGAATTAAGAATAAACGAAAATATAATCCCAATTACCTTGAATGGTTTACAGGGAGTTTTGGTGGGACGAAACCAAATCAACCCAACCCACGATAAGCAATATGGTGAAATCATTAACATTTTACAAAAATAAAAAAGGAAGAAACCCGGAATAAAAAAACCCCAACGAGAAAGAGAAAGAGATTATTCATTGTTCACTACCATAAAAAATAATTTACCACCAAATTATTCACCAGTATGCCTAACATTTGATGACGATGAATACGTATATCAATGTTGCGCACAAAGTAGGACTATAGGTGTATTGGTTCACTGCGAATAACATTTCTAAACTTTTCCCCCTAGGCCATCGAGTTATCGTGCGTGCTGATATTGAAGAGTCGAAGAGGAAGGGGCAAGTTACTGTCTTGTGCGGTGGAGGGTCTGGTCACGAGCCATTTGCAGCAGGTTATGTATATGCCTCCTATCCATACCAGACATTATTAGTAGACCAATATGTATTAATTAACGAGTACGGATACTAAAATGTTACCATGAGCGTTTTATATACAAGATCGACAGAAATTATGGTGAGCTAGTACATAAATAATGTTTATTTTCAAAACAGGATTCGTTGGAAAGGGAATGCTATCGGCTGCTGTGGCCGGTTCCGTGTTTACATCGCCTCCACCAAACCAGATTCTAGCAGGGATCCGATATATTGCCGGCCCAAGTAAGTCAATAATATTATGAATTATGTAAGAAGTACGATATCAAAACTTACAAGAATCCAACTTTATTGTTCCGCTTACAACTACTTGAGGATATCACTGCAATGTATACCATTATTGTCAAGGTGAAGTCCTGGAAATCTATATAATCCAGGATGAAAGTTGGATACGAGAATAATGGGAAAGAAGAGTGTTTGGAAGGGCAGCTAAGTCCTAAATGTATGGATTTGGCTAAAGATGGTAACTGGATTTATCTAATAACTGTAGTTTGGTGCACATGGTTTATTTCAAGCTACCAATGATAGTGGTATGATGATGACAATAAATATAATAATTTAATACAGACTAATACGTTCATGGCACATAATATCCTACAATTGTTACCCATTTATAATCCAGGGAGATAGACAAACTTACATAGGTGAAGTGCCTTGCTTAATGACACAAGTTTACAGCGAAGGTTCTATGCTCCGACCTAGGTTGTGAGACTGAAACGCACCCGATGCGCCAACCGCTCTCACATACCATACGGTACCGGTCTTCTCCATGCGCCGAAAACCTCAACCCAAGTGCTAAATATAAGGACGAATAAAAAGAATACCAAAGAAAGACATCCATTAATGGTGAATCATACTTGTGTAGTAACTTGGTTGTAAACCTTGGGAAATTCGATACAACATAGAAACAACGATCTCAATAAACATTTAAGGAAACCAGTGGAAGATGTAGATGAGGTGGACTTCAGTGCGTGTTGCAAGCATCAGAACTCAGTGAATTTCGTTGGAGTGATGGGAAACATATGGAGCGTTTCAAATTACAAAATCTTGAAGTTTACTCGCAGATGAATAGGTATAATATAAAAAAGATGATGTCTAGTTACAAGGATACAAGGCTACTTTATTCATACGGAGAAATTTCATGGCTGGATACAACAATGTGAAAAATCACAAGACAAAGTAACAAATAGTAATAATAAAACTATTAATAGGCCTAATAATAATAAACTAATAATAACAATAATAATAATAAAAATAATAATAATATAATATAATAATAATAACAATAATAATAATAATAATAATAATAATAGTTATGATATATTTGTATTAACTTGTTATTATTATTATTAATAATAATAATAATAATAATAATAATAATAATAATAATAATAATAATAATAATAATAATAATCATAATAATAATAATATTGATAATAATAATAATGCTTCGGTGACTTATAATGTTTTAATGGCCGTTGTTTGATATCTTTTTTACATTGTAATTTTTATAGTTCATTATATTTGATCATTCTTTTAATTGTTTTACTTTATTTTAATGCGAGGACTGAATTTCCGACTTGGAGCAATAAAGTGTATCTTATCTTATCTTATCTTAATTAATACTGGCCACCAACACTGAAAACCCTCTACATAGGATGTTTATTTTTGAAGTCCCTAATTCTTGGGAGGAAGGAGAGATGATGGCGTTCTGTAGAGACCCGTGGACGTGCCATCAGTAACAGTTGGCAATATCTGAGTGAAGGAGTGACTTAGATCACCCTATATCGAACAGAACTTCTTGCACAACCATCCTTCCTACACTCCTCAGTAGTCTATCTATCCTATCCCTATCTAGTTTATTTACATTCCCACCCCATAATAAGCAATACCCCCAGACAGAACCAATTACTGATAAATAAAACAGAATTTGACTACTGACATTGAATGAGTACAGTTTACGTAAACAATACATACGTGAGTTGGGCAAGCTCATGCTTATTCGGACGGATCCAGTGGCGTAACGCCCATGTGCTCTCGGGAGACGAAGCCACGGCCCCAGTATAAAGAGGCCCCAAAAATCCCCGAATCCAGCCTGATCCCAGTGTTGGTTTATTTTTGTTACTGTTTGAATGGTGCTTTGTAAATAAATATAAATATATCATATTGATTGATGGAGCTTTTGAGAAGCTTCGACCAATATCAAATCCATAAAAGATATTAAATGATTGACGATGCATAATTTGTGTGAAAATAAAAGTTGATTTATGGTTTAATACTTTGGCGGATGTTAAATTGTATTAAGAAAAATATTTCTTGTATTTTATTGTTTATATGAACATAGACTTAGTACCGGTAAGATTTTAAAGGTATGAGACTGCAATTTCCCGTCACCTCAGTCCGTATTCTCAACATTTTCTGACCTCAGCCGCAACCATAGTGGGTCTTAGGCGACTCTCATGCACCCCCTACCGCTAAATTCTGCATCCGCCCCAGGAATACTGAATAGTTAAATACTTAAATGACAACTTTTCAGTCAGTACTTTTCAAACCTCGGACACTTTGTCAGAGAAAATATTTTGCTGACACGGGTTACTCCATTAGACGGATCTTTTGAATTTCCAAATTTAGTGATAATCCTAGACATTATTCTTGATTATGTGTTCTTTATTTAAAGGTGGAGTGCTACTCATAGTCGCTAATTACACTGGTGATAGGCTGAACTTTGGAATAGCGGCCGAAAGAGCTATAGCAGAAGGCATCGATGTCGCCACTGTTACAATAAGTGAGGACTGCGCCCTCTCTAGTACGGACAAGACGGCTGGTAGAAGAGGCCTGTGTGGAATCGTTCTTCTTATGAAGGTGAATTATAAGAAGAGCAATTACGTAATACTCTGGCGCTCTATTATTCGTATATACTGTACACGTATTATCATTTAGTTTGTAATTAAGCACCAGCGATGTTGTGCTGCGATTGGAGTTGAATCACAATAAACAAACATTAAAACATTTGTAAGGGAGCAGTTAGCTCAGTCGGCTAATCTGGTGGTAGCTACTGTGTGTGCCCTGAACCGCGGAGATCTCTAGGTCCCAGGTTCAATTCCCATCGCTGCCTCTCCTTATGTTTCAGCTGGAGGGCTGAAATATAAATTACAATAGCGCACCGTCTTTCGGATGAGACGTTTAAGCCGTTGGTCCCGTGTTCGCAGTACACTCTTCGGAAAAGAGTAGGGGATTTTCTACCGGTGTACTGCCCAATCACCACCAGAGGGACCCCACTGGAAATAAGTCTTCTTCTAGACTTTCGTGGGCTATCCTTGGTGTTTACACCGAATAAATCCAATCCAATACGATCTATTAAAATTATACTTCTTCAAGGGTAAATGTAGAAGAATACCCTATAACCTGCACCGTCATTGCCGAATTGTGTATAGGCCTAAGCGTAGTCCTACGACTACCTAACCGCCGTAAAGAGGCGCTTATAGTAGCTACATGTTCACATCATTCCTAAACGACAGGGGCAGAAATGAACCATAGCATTGGGGTAACTCACTACACTTCCGAAGGATGCAGTTGGTTCTTAAAGTGCACACGAGCCAGATGTGTTTAAGTCCCTGGTTTTACCAATTGAACCCTGGACGAGGAGCGGCTTGAACCAGCACAAACGTCGATTAAAGAGGTCTAGTGGCATTCCTGCCTGAAGGCATACAAGTAATCTACATTCGTGTTTTATTTTATTTTTATTTTCACTGTGCCTAAACCATAAACATAGTGGATAATGCCATGTCATTTCTGTTTGATAAGCTAGACAGATATTAAACCACACATAGACACATTATAAACGTGCTTTAAAATTCGTTACTCACATAATACTGAAATATAAACAATTCCGATCAACAATTATATAGACCCAGATGCGAGAGCGTTTTAAAGTAATGCTAATATTAAAATAGCTTTCTAGTAAAATTATAGTTTAGTGGTAAAGCAACAAAACTCGGCTGCTACTAGAAGCTCGGTCGCCTTATACTAATAGTAATTATAGTGACAGCAAGCATAAAATCCGTCAAAATTTCACTTTGGTACCGTAGTCTATTACGATACTATACAGTAGTTCAATAGCATGTATTACATTTCAGTGTAGACGTCATCATAGTAGCCTCAACATAGTTTTTATATCCCCGAGCTGGGTTTTGTTTTTACTAGCGCTCGTTACACTAAGATAGTGCCCATCGGTACCCGATATATGCCGTCGACACACATTAGTTACCGTTCCTAAATGGCACTAGGTTTGTCAAATTTTGTTGATAGACTTCTTAAATCTGTAGGGTATGCCGGCCGAATTTGGCGATCGGCGTGTTGTTTGTATACGCTAATTGAATTCTATTATATAATTTTTGGGTGCCAAGAACACATGGTATTTGATTAGGCCCTATGCAATTTACTTGAGGCATATTTAGAGAAGGAAGTAGGCCTAGGCTACAAAAACTGTACTCGGTGCTTGCATCAATAAAATATATGCTAGTTGAGATAAAAGGTGAATATAACACAATTATTTTTGATTTATTTCGGGCACTAATTATAGAATACTGATCTTTAGGAGCCATTAGTTTTTCTTTATTTTCCCCCTAAAATATCTCATTCTGATCCATATTTTCCAATAGTGCCCTCTAAAGATTCAATAATGTTTAAATATATTTGTAATGATAATCACGTGTGTATTTGATTTTGATTGTGATTTAGATTGTTGGCGCTTTAGCAGAAGAAGGGCGGTCGTTGAAGGAAATAAGTAGTATCGCAGAGGAGACAACCAAAGCTATTGGTGAGAAAAGCAATGGCACAAGTTTTGAAATATTCGATGACCCTACATAAAAATAGTAGGCCTATAATGCGATATTATATAATACGAATTTATTTCCATCAATATAAAATACAATGAAAAACACATCGTAATAAATAAATGACATAAAGATGGAGGAGAAGCAACGAAAAAAAAAATTGCCGGTAAAGTTTTCATAGAGAAAAATGAGCAAATTTAGAAAAACGACAAAAGTCAAACTTGCACCCACACTGCACAGAAACAAGGAAGCATGAAATCAAACAAACTGTGAAAGATGCATACTTTTCATAAAGTTAAGAAGTAATATAATGATAACAAGAAATACTTAAACCATATATACTACTACGCTACCGCTACTGCTGCTGCCACTGCTACCGGTACTACAACAGTACTACTATTATTGCTGCTATTGTTGCTCCAAATATTGCTGCTGCTGCTGCTGCTGCTGCTGCTGCTGCTGCTGCTGCTGCTGCTGCTGCTGCTGCTGCTGCTGCTACTACTACTACTACTACTACTACTACTACTACTACTACTACTACTACTACTACCACTACTACTACTACTACTACACTACCACCACCACCACCACTACTACTACTACCACTACTACTAACACTACCACTACTACCGCTAATACCGCTACTACCGCTACTACCACTACTACTACCACTACTACCACCACCACTACCACCACTACTACCACCACCACTACCACCACTACTACTACTACTACTATTACTACTACTACTACTACTACTACTACTACTACTACTACTACTACTACTACTACTACTACTACTACTACTACCACTACCACTACCATTGCCACCGCCGCCGCCTCTACTACTACTGCTACACTGCTACTACTACTGGTGCTACTACTACTGCTACTACTAATACTACTATTACTATAAGTAATAGAATTCAGAGGTTAGTTGTCGAAATTTAAACACCACTGAGCGGTTTTAACATTTTTTTTTACAGGCACCATTGGTGTAAGCCTAACCCCATGCCATGTACCTGGTTCCGGCGCAACGTTTGACATAGCGGAAGATGAGATGGAACTTGGCTTAGGAGTCCACGGGGAGGCAGGTGTGAAGCGTATGAAGGTAATGTGTTACGTTATTTGTGGTTTTGTTCCGCTTTGCTTTGGTGTTTTTTAAGTATTTTCATGATTTGTATTCTTTAAGTATTTTATATCCATAGTCTCTGTTTAAGTTTTCTTCTGTGCTCTTCTTGTGGAGTTCTAGAAAAAACAGAACAAAATGCAAAGGAAGGTTTTTTTTTTTTTTTTTTTTTTTTGGTTTCTTCTTGTTAGTATGACCGAGTTGATTGGCCGAGCGGTTAAGTCAGGGGCACCGTGACCTTCAGCTTTAATATCGGCGTTGGTTCGAACGGCTCACTCGCCAATGGTTCCTGTGGTGGAACAAGTCTTCTCGGATAAGGACTTTAAACCGTAGGCCCAGTGTACGCATTTGGCTCGTGTGCACTTTAAAGAACCCGGTACATCATTCGAGAAGAGTAGGGGGTTACCCCGGTGTACTGGTCCATTAAGTCCCCTGTTGTTAAATGGATATGCCACGTAGGACAGCGATTAAGTTCACTTATTGGCATATCCTTGGCCCTCGTGCCTAAAGAAATGAAATGAAATGAAACCATACTAAACATATATCGAAAGTTTACCAAAATCTGACACATAAGGTACTAATTTTCATAAAATGAAAATGTGCGCCAAAGAAACTTTGAGGTCACATAATTTATAGACCTTGCTCCTAGATTCCATAAAACTACTAGTCCTAGCGAGTTGCCTTTGATAATTGTTGAGATAGCATATGTTACTAGGCCTAGATAGAAATAGGCCATCAAAAATTTGTTCACGTTGACTATTTTGAAGATTGTCTAAAGCCCTGGCCAAATTATCAAGTAACAAGAACATGTGACATTACTAAACATCATATCATGATTATACGGGCATACACACGTTCATTTGTCAAAGAAAAGGTTTACGATTATTTAATGATGATACGGTGATGGCTACTAAAATGATGGATTATTCTGTCAGTTCATAATTTATGCGTACAGTACCATGTGAATATCGACTCTCTCATTTGAAATAACGATGTATTTAACTTTTCACTGTTGCAATCACATTATTAAGGCCATGAATCACAATCACTGATGTATCATCTTTTGGCATATTTCGATTGCTCCGTGATTAATTAACTAAATCCAAACTTGGTCACACGTCAGATTCTTTCAGCAGACGATATTGCTGCCATCATGATAGATCACATGACGGATCAGCAGACCTCGAGTCACATGAACCTAAATGCAGACGATCACGTCGCCATCGTTTTGAATAATCTTGGCGGCACTTCATACCTTGAAATGTTTGTGATGATTCGTGGAGCGATCAAATACTTAGGTTTGTGTTTCCCCGTTTGTGATGAATTATATTCACAAATGTATCTTCCATAGTGCCTTCTGTAGTACCTCATTAATATTGATAACAACCAGAACTTCAGGTTTTGACTGTTACCTACTTATATTGATATAATCTCTGTCGTATCCGTCATAGTTTTCAATAAAATACACACATAATGTATACAAGTGAATTAAAGTAGTATGTTACCACTTAAATTCCAGGAATTCGTATACGATTTAAAATGATGATGTTCGCTTAACAAGGTCGTAATTTAAACTGGTATATTATTTTGCTGTTATGCTCTTATTATTATTTTGCTATCGGCGTATGCCGCTTCCGACGGTATGTCAGAGTTCTCAGTAACATTTATTTCGTACGAAATAATTTTAAGCGCATGGCGCGTTTATGTGTATAAAATCGCAAACGGAAATATCAGAACCAAAATAATCATTATCTTTATCATCATAATCATCTGCAGCATTAGCACCACCACTGCCAACATAAGCTCATCATTCTGCTGCTCATTATTAATAATTGTATCATGATTCATGTCTTACCTTCTAGAGTCAAATTGCATCATAGTGGAAAGAGTTTACGTTGACCATTTTATGACGTCATTGGATATGGCTGGCTTGTCGCTTACAATTCTACATCTGACTGATCTTCGTCTAAGGTGTCTGGGTATGAGTTTTAAATTATGTTCATGACAAAATACGATGATGTAATTTCTGTTATTTATTCAGAAACGTAGATGCATGCTAAACATTGTTTTTCTAAATTTTTTGATCCTCACACCTTTAATAATTATATATTTTTAAATTTTTTTAGTAGCCTAAATAGTTAGATATATAGTAGATATTGATTGGATTGTCTCAATAATGTTTTACTTTGAATATCAATGCACCAGCAAACAATCCAAGGGTAATATTTGGCTTAATGAAAAATAAAAATAAAAAGCCTCACCCCCTCATCACTTTTCCAGCCTAGATAGGGCTGATAACATTTTTTATAGGGCCTAATATACTGATTATCCCATGGGAAACTAAATTTGAAAGTAAGTGACCCCTACTCTTTTTTTTGTGATAATAAACATTCACATTGCTAAGTTCGTAGTAACATTTCGAATAATACACTATAATGCAAATATAACTTTGGAAATGTTTCGTGAATATGGTACTCGTTAACTGATTCCAACTTTCAAAACACTTCTTCTGTTTTTATTACAGATAAAGAGACAAGTGCCATGAGTTGGAAGCAGATGTCCACACTCGGCGACAAATACTGCACCAACCGAGGACATGAACGATTTGAACCTTATCACAACACTTCTGACCAATTTTCAGAGAATCGTCAAAAACAGAGTACCCCTGCCGATAACGGTGAGCATGCAATCATTGTGCTACTGGTCTTATTTTAGAAGGGACAGCAGATGGGAAAAAAGAACTATTGGGAAAAGCGATCGGGTGCACGAAAAATGATTAAACAATTTGAAAAAAAAATGTTTAGGTGAAATTGGAAATTTTATCTTATAGTTGATGCACCGATCGTATTACGTGCTCTTGAGAATGTCTGCAAAAAGTTAATCACGTCAGAATCATTATTAAACGAATTGGATCGTCACGGAGGAGACGGTGACTGTGGGACTACTTTAAAAACTGGAGCACAAGGTAATTCATTAGGCCTACACTTTGTACTCAAACTTTTTATTAAATAGTGTATATTAACAAAATAAACAGCACGAGATTTAAACTACTTACACCAACTATTTTTTGTTGTTGGGGGTGGGGGAGTGTGGGAGGGCATATTGTTACACAGGTGGTTTGTGACGTTTTCAAACCATCAATGAATGCTTATTATAAAAACATAAAATATATATTTAAAGATGCAATGGATGTTTGGAAAATAAAAAAAAAATCAATAGCTCATTTAAATAGATCAAATTAGTACAGAGTACAGAATACAGAAACGTTATTTGTCCAAAAAGGAAATTCGTTTTGTTGACAAGCTCAATAAAGACACTACGTGAATAACGTCCAACAAGAAACAGGTGGGAAATAGTTTTCGCTGACTTACAACAATCATGAATTGATTACCAGCCAAATTAAGGATCTATTGAAATAGAGGAAATGTCTTGTTTAGATATAAACCCAAAGCTTATTGGGTGAAAGACCCAAAAACCTTAACCAGGGAACCAGGTCTCTTTTTTATGTTACTGAAGACATCCGGCATCTAATGGACGTATGATTGCACAGTCAGTTTAGAAAGTGTACATATTTCTGTTAGATAAAAAAAAGTAGTCAAGTAATAGATTGACTTTTATAGCATGGCATAATTATTATGGGCCTAAAGTTTAAGTACAGTCCGCGGTCCATTATTATTTAGCAACGTCACAGTAGAGTATCTGTGACTGCGTGAACCACACTGATGCATAGTTCAACATGATATTCAGTCTTAACATAATGTAGATCAGACTTCGGTTTAATGAAGGGTAGATTCGCCGTTACACTCATAATGGCCTTTTCAAATTTATTTCCTGGCGTTGTATTCAGATCTAATTCACATTTTTCCAGGAGCAAGCACATCGATAACTGTTTGTCTCTTCTAGTTCTTCCAATTTGAGACCACTTCAGGACCTGAAAATTTGGTCTCCACTTGCAGGGTTAGATTTGTGTTAAAAGATTGAAGGTTATTTGATTCTTAGGAAACGTGGTCACGGATTAGATGGTTCTCTGAATTAGTAGGTCTCGAATTGAAGGGCGCAGTATTTCAATCCGTAACAGTACGTTATTCGACATCTGTCAAGCCTCTTCGCCTTGAATCCTGAATTGTTTTGGGAAAATCCTGGATAGTAGTAATAACGATAGTACAAAACGATCTTCGGTATCTTTTTTTAGAATTATAGATAATTTGGCAATGAATAAACAAAGGATTACATTAAAGCGGTTATGTATTCAATATTGATTTGAAGTGGGGTTTAATAGATTAGTGGTTAAGATGCTAGCCTTCTAATCCCAGGCTCCTGGGTTCAATTCCTGTGATCAAAATATGCACCCTACATGCAGATTACATGTACGCAGCGCACGAAACTTGTACAGTCAGAGCCAAAATCTCCTACCAGGTACCCAATTATACTCCGGGGTAGAGGGGACAAACGTAGATAAAGTGCCTTGCACAAGGACACACGCGACTTGCACAGCGAGAGTTACGAACCCACGACTACGGTTAAATAATAGGAGGACATTCAACATTATTTAAATGGTTTATTCTCGCCCCTTGTCTTCGTTTTACAGCCATAAGGAGAGTGTAAATGAAAATTTGCTCGGATACGCCAAGGCGGAAACTGTTTCCTGATGTGAAAATATACAGCAGGAAGACAAGACAATGTAATTTCTTAGAACATGTGGTTATCTAAAACCTTTAAACTGAGTCAGTCACCCTTCTGTCTTATCCTTTTCTCATCACTGCTAAATAACTTTTTTTTATAATAGGTTTCCTCGCGATGGGAAAAGATGCAAGTGCATCATAAAATAAAAATTTCAATCAATATTGTCTATTCCTCAGAGGACACATTTAGAACAGTCTGCTCTTGATTATTTTATATACCCTTTTCATGGCTTTATAATCACCTTTATAATAGTTTCTCACAATTGGCATTTCTTTAGATTTAACAGCCGGGCGCTCACTGCGTCGTACGGCCGTAGTACTGCCGTCGGCCGACGAATCCAACTCCGCTCCCCTTGAACGCTAGACGATGCGACGTTGTCTGCTGATTGTCTGTGGCACTCATAGACGAATCATCATTAAAAAGATCTGTTACGCGCGCGTCATTGGTCGTGGCCCTGCGTTCCTCCTAGAATCGCGTCGGCCGACGACCGTCGGGCGCAGTGAGTGCCCGGCTTTAGATTAAACATATTAATCGCACTCATAAGTCAAACATAATCACTAAGACAAGGAGCTGGCTATTATAACACAACAATACTTATTACAAAAAAAAAAAAAAATCTAAAATCCCGAATATTAATGTGCCTTTGAAAAACCTTGTTAGTATCGTGTAATACTAAACTCAAAACAAGAGTTATTGAAAATTATCCTCTTGGAACGTTTAAAGAAAGTTAAAAAATACACAATTTACAAAAAAAAAAAAAAAAAAAAAAATAAATAAATAAATAAAAAAATAAAAAAATAAATAAGAATAAATAAATAGAATAGAAGAAATACGCACACTTGATATTTATCGTAACCACAAGTATCAGATATGTATGTCATTTGAAGTGCTAACGTCCCAGAGCTAAATATCTCCAAGGCCTTATCAATGGATCTATATAAAAGTTTTTTATAATAGTTGGTCATGGTCCAATAAAAAAATGATTAAATTTTTGTGACGATCCGGAGCAGGGTGTGGATATGAGGACCATTCGAACGAAGTCGTCCCAGACCGATATTTAAAAAACTGATCAAATGATCTCAATGAGATTTTCGGAAAAGTGTAACCAAGCTACAAGGAAGGAATTATTAAATGTTGGTGACGATTTGGATTCGGGTGTGGATGTGAGGGTAATTTACATGCTAACGTTCCGGGCCTAAATATCTCAAGAACTGACCTATGAGTAAATATTTAAAGAATTGTATTGGACGGGTGATACAACTATATAAACGCAATTTATAAAAGCGTTTAAACCAACTGTAGCTAGGTTAAACCTAAAATTACCGTGATATGCATGAACAATTTTCGCTTTCAGCCACTGAATATCTATGATCTAAAAATGCACTGACATTTGTGAGTCTCCATGTACATTTCTATTACCATTGCTTCTATAATCTCACTTGATCTATGATATGAATGTGCCTAATTAATGTGTATACCTTTACTTCATTGTCAATTAGAAATTGTATCTTAATTACTTTGTTTTTCGGGCGCCACAATTGTAAAGCTCTGCTTGTTTGTGGTTGCCCTTTACATTTCCATTTTTATATCTGTACTGTTTAATCTATGCTTTGGAAAATATTTGGAATAAATTTATTTTGAATTAATTTTTTTTTTATTTGAACGTCGCGTTAATCGTGAAGTTGGTTTTCATTGTTTCTTTTTACTTCATAATTTTCTTTAGTAGTATTTAGTATTTTTGCTTTTCGTGTGTTTTTTGCTTTATAATTTTTAATGAATTTTTTTGTGTTGCAATTTCAACATCACTACTCATTATGGCATCAGCAGTCTAGTTAATTTTTTTTGTTTTATGCTCAAGGCCAAACAGCAAGTGGCATATCCCTTCACAAGACAAACATGCACACAAAATGCTCTACATAAACCAGGCCTCATTATGAGGTTTAGGAACTGGAGATGTTTTTGGTCCGTGACAGCAATTGAACCTAAGACCTTATGATGAAAGGCAAGCCTCATTACCACCAAGCTATTCAACTTTATAATTGAAATTTCTGACCAAAATAATGTCATTTGATTGAAAATGTTTTTTCTCTCTTCAACAAATTTTGAAGCACATCATTGTTGGAAATGGACTAATAATGTATAAATTCTTACATCCCTGCTAAATTTTCTGCCTTGATTAATCTACAAAAATATTACAATTCAAATATCTTCACAATCTTAAAAATATAACTAAACTTCGCTTTATTACTGCTAGGAATATTAAATAAAGCAATTTATATAAGATATTTAATTATTTACAAATTGTTAAACGTGTACATTTGGACTCTTATTTGATTATACAGTATAAACAATTTTCAATGTTCCAAATAAAATTTATATAGAGTTATTTTCGAATTTGGCAGTCCTACGTAAAATGGTAACTTTCTCATATAAAAGGTTTTTCCTATGAATTGCGAAATCCTGTTTAACCAAACCTAGTACCGTTTTGATTTTAGTTGTACGAGAATTTATCTTGAAAAATTAATTAGTGTTGTGCATACATTAACACTATCGCCGGTAAAGAATCATGTGTAGTTATATATCTGTATCTATAAATACAGCCCATCACTATACCGCGTCATCACCGTTGCGTCAGATGAATATTCGCAAAAGAGTGAAAACATAGTGAATGAGTGCCCAGGGATCACTACAATAGAGTGTAATAGAAAATGTAGAAACGGAGTGAAATGTCAATATATTCAGCGTGTTTTTAAAAATTTACTTCACTATTTAAAATATAAATCCCTTTTTAAGTGTGAATTTTTACTTGAAAAAAAATGTAATTGGATTGATCGCTGCATGTTAAATTTATAATTGTTTTCATACTAATTTATTTACCTTTAGGCCTACTTACTTATTATTTTAGAAGTATCAATATGTTTTTTTTCTTCATCTAACTGTTGTGTGATTTTGTCTATATTTTTTGAAATGTATGCATATTTTTATTTACTCTATGGATTTGTTTATGTTATTGGGGAAGAATTTAAGTATTATTTCAGATTTCTGGGGCTTATTCTATTGATATAGTGAGTTATTATGGGTCTCTTCGTATTTTGTAATAAAATAAAATAAAAGTAATGTCGTGACATTATGTTGGGATTTAAAGGCTGACACTAAATTGGCAAAGAAAATGACTAATGTTGAAGATATGTATCGGAGCAATAGAAACGGCAAATCGACATTCCATTAATGTCGTAATCTTTCGTCGTTGTTCTTATTGGCATTTGTGGATATAGTATCCAT